CTTCCCATTTTTCCTTCTGCATTTCCTTTCTGGACTCCCTCCAGGACCCACATTTATGCTGATCTTCCATCCGGAGCATAAATCACTCCTCTGCTTGAATTATTTCAGTATCAGGGAAGTATTGACCTATTCAGAGTGTAGCCCCAGCACCTAGCACTTTGTTTAATGGCAATGTTGGTAATGATTATAAGCATAATAAGAGCAAGAATTTAAACTGATAATTACCAGGCACTTATTATATGCTAGGCACTGGTCTAAGTCCTTGACATATATTAGCTCATTTAGTGTTCCTAAGTAACCTCTACAATGGAATTTATTATTATTACACCATTTTCTAAAGAAAGAAACTGAAACAAGGGAAAGTAAAAAGTGGCTTGTTCAGGGACAAGCATAGAACTGGGGCGTGAACCCTTATAATCTGACTTCAGAGCCTCAACCACTAGGCTATATGGCTTCTGTACCACGGCACATAACGCATACTCAATAAAGATTCACTTCATGGATGAGTGACAGAATGACTGACCAGAGAATCACCTAACTTGCTGAGGGTCAGGCAGGAAGCCACACCCAGGATTCTAAAGGACTCTGGACTTGGGAGCTCCATGGGAGGTGATGGGAGGACAGGGAGGGACACAGAAGGGCAGGTGTGGCCCACACCCTGGGTGGACAGAACTTCCCCACATTCCCCTTCCTCTGACTTCAGATAGGAAAGGCAAGGAGCTGCTGATGGCTCTTTTCCTGAGGTGTGTCCAGAGAGCTTCCTGGCCTAGAGAAACTCCCAGCCTAGCCCTCCTGCTCCAGGACTGAGAACTCACAGGAGTGCGGGTGCCACCAGGGAGAAGAGAGGAAACGATCCAGGGGACTGCGCCAAGAGCAGCGTTCTGCTCGTCGAGGTCCTGCTGGCAGGGATGCCTGGAAGTGAATCTGCCTCGCCAGCTGCAGTGCCAGCACAGCCAGAGTGCCCTGGGAAAGAGCACATCAGGACATGGTCCCCCACCAGTCAACTCCTTCAGAGCTGGCCTTCAGCTCCCCCATCATTTCCTCGGGAAGCCTTTCCCGACTCCCGCTGGGCAGCTCCCCTGCTCACAACATGCAAACTTTTCCTCTTGTACTGAATAAGCATCACTACAATTATTCATCTAAGGTCTGTTGCTTCTGTTAGCATAACAAAGGCAGGGACTGTACATGCTTTGCTCACCAATGTATCCCTGGTTCCCAGCACAGTGCTAAGCTATCGTATGGGCCTAATAAATGCACACTAAATAAATGCACAACTAGTAACTGAACAAAGAAAATCTAGGCAAGCAAAAAGATGATGCGGTAAGTTGGAAATGATGCACATTTCCAGCTGCAGGCTTGTGGAAGGTGTCTCTTTCTCTGACAGGTCAGCAAAAGACCTGAGCTACCTCTTAACCCAGTGCCTGCTTGGTTTTCCCTGTCTCCACCCCTGTGATGCTCAGGGAGGGATGCCCAAACACTTGTCTGTTGCAATAGGTACTGTGCATATGATGGCAAATAAGACAGACCTACCTCTACCTGGGGAAACTTATATCTTGTATAACCCAAGTATAGAGAAAAAGAAATACAATAATTTGCAATTATGCTAGATGCCAAAAACAAAACAAATTGTGAGGTTTCAAAGAATGTAAGAGGAAAGCCTGATAAGGAGTCACGAAAAGCCTTCCTATGGGGGTGATGTATGAACTAAGTTCAGAAGAAAGAGAAGGCAGCAGTACTGTGAAGAAAGGGACAAGTATCCATCGCATTGGGGACAGCTTGTATGTAGGCCCTTTCATATGGACAGTAGTACAGAGCCCAGCGATGATATAAGGCCCTCTGGAATCCAGGCCTAGTTCACAAAAGGACTTGGTGTGGAACTTTACTAGTGCTCAGATCTTTGACAAAATGGAAAAACGTTCCCCTTTCTAGGGTATATGGCCCTAGTCTGCAAAAACCCAGAGAATGGTATCCCATCATAGAAATATCCCAGACTCAGTTGATGACACCAATTTACAGGTTAAAAAAAAAAATGAGGGGCTGGGGTTATGGCTCAGTGGTAGAGCACTTGCCTAGGCACTGGGTTCAATTACCAGCACCACATATAAATAAAGAACAAAATAATGGTACATCAACATCTAAAAAAAAATATTAAAAAAAAAAATGAGGCTCAAAGAGGTCAAGTCAATTGCCTAAATGCACAGCATGAAAGTAGTGGGGATGGGATGTGATAGATACAAGTGATACATGTGTCAACTTCACTCACAATACCTTCTAAGCTGAACCTCTACCTGAAAATTTGCCCAAAAGACAAAGGTTCTGCCCTATTATACTTAGTGTTTACTACGGAGCACCTAACTTTCTAGATTCTGTAGTAGGTACTTTTACAAGTCATAGTAGCTGAAGTGATACAGCCTGAACTCCAGAGTTAAATCGGGAGTAAACACAGTGACTTGGAAGGCTGAGACAGAAGAATTGTAAGTTCAAGGCAGTTTCAGCAACTTAGTGAGATAGTGTCTCAAAACAAAAAATTAAAAGGGCTGGGAAGGGAGGTTGATGGTAAAGGACCCCTGGGTTCAATCCCCAATACCAAAAAAAAAAAAAATTACATTTTTCTTTGTGTAAGATTTTTGCAATGATGTTAAACAAAATAACACATGTATAATAGTTTACATTAGTATGTAATGATATTTATTATTATTTACTGTAAGCTCCATGAAAGCAAGAATTATATCTACCTTGTTCTCTGCTACGTCCCCTAGTGCCAAGAAAAAATGCCTGGCTCAGAGGTTTTAGATAAATGTTTACTGAATAAAATGAGGGCTAAGTACACACCAAGGGTACAGGGTGTGACACTACCTCCATGAATATTCTCCAGTGTCATGGGTTCTCATTGTGTAGACACAATGATGGCCTTGCTCTCCTTTCTAGACCTGGCTACTCTTCCATGCAGGATCATTCTCATCCATGCTGAAGGTAAAGGACAGGATTGGGGATGCCTTACCCATGAAATGGCATCCCTCAGGGTATTTGGGGAAACATGAGCAGACATCCACTGGAAGACATTCTTCCATCCATGGGACTTTGGGCCCCTGCTTGTACTCGGACCATGGTGGCCTGACCTAGATGATATAATTAGAAACTATCAAGTTCTGTCCAAAACGGGGGCAAAGGAAGGCCAGAGGAGAAGATGGGTGACAGAATGGCAGTGTCTCACCTGTCAAGGTTGGGCAAAGGGACCAGCAAGGTGGAGGAGGTCGCTTGAGGCACATCTGAGCTGTTGGTCTTGGGGGTCACACCCCGGAGGTGAGGTCCCAATAGACGGGGAAGTGCTGTGCAGAGCAACAAGGATCAGTTACTTCAACAGGAACAAGACGGAAGCCAAGTGGCCCCAACAAAGCATTATCTCAGGAAACACAGGAATCACTGGCATCTGCCTCTACAGTGTTTTCTTATTTCTTTTTTTTTCCCTTTTTCTTTTCTTTTTTTTTTTTTTTTTTTGCAGTGCTGGTGATTGAATTCAGGACTTCATCCATATTAAACAAGCAGTCTACCACTAGCCACATCCCCAGCCCTTGCACTCATGGAAATCTTTAGCCTGGTGGGGTTCTCATGGAAATCTTTAGCCTAGTGGGGATTCTAAGGTGCCACCCCAAAACCAAAAAAGAAGGCTCTCAGGATGAGCATCTACACTCTGAAAAAGTTCACCCAGGCGATTCTAATGCCCTCTATGGGTGACAACCTTTGCTCCATGGCCACACATCCACATTTAGAGTCTCTAAATCTCTCCTTTGTTCATTGGTTTCACTACTCCACAGCCTCTAGTTCTTTCATTGACTCCTCCCCTTCCTAAAGCTCCACCCATTTCCTTGGGTCTAAGCTCCACCTTCTTCTCACTTTGCTGCACAACTCAAATTCCAACATCACCTGACTTCTAAGACGTAGCCCCGCCTCCTTAAGGCCCCGCCTTCCTCCAGTCTAGCCCCGCCCACTGTCGCTTTGGCAGTTTCCTTGCGCCCCTTCCCTCCAATTCAGAGTCTTTGCGACCTTTGGGCGCTAGCAGACGGGCTGCCCCTTACCTCGGCCCAGGAGACCCGTCAGTCGCCACATGTCGCCAGCACCATAGAGACCGCGCAGCCGAAAAAGCCAGGCCAAACCATGGGACAGCCGCTAGAGCGGCCGCTGTGGTGTCCCAAGTGGGGAAATCCCCACGCGACTCTTGAGCTCGCCAATTAGAAAAGAGCTCCACCGGAAGGACGGCCCTCAGCGAGAGGAAGTGGAGGATGTGGGCGTATCTGGGGCCAGTCGGGAGGTGAACCGCGACAAGGGCATGGGGGTATAGGCCCAGGAAAGAGCTGTCATTTGCCACCCCCACTGGAGAGAGGACAGCGCGCCGACCCGGGGATAGCAGGTGGCCATTGTGGCAGGGCTGGAACGACTGCGGTGGAGCAAGAGGACCTTGTAGACACCGCGGAGCCGCCGAAGAGGAAAAGACTCCCCAGGCCCAGAGGCTTAAGGAGGCGAAGTGGATCTAGGCCGGAGGAGAAGAGCCTTAGGGCCCCACGGAAGAAGCTAGCAGTCCCAGCTTCCCGCTCGAGGCCATCGTTTAGCGATGCCAGGCCCCGACCCCACCGTAGGCCATGAGAAATGCACCAGGCAGGGTTTCAATTCTTAGATTCTAGCTGTGGCTCAGCTTTGTCGCACTGTGTAGCCTAAGGCCGACTCCTTCCCTTATCAGGGCCTCAGTCTGTGTACCACGATGGGGTCAGGTGGAAAAGTCTCCCCTGGTTCTTCATGGTGTAACAGGCTGAGACTCTGATTTGCTCCTTTCAAAATCCCAAGAGCAGCCAGCCACACGCCCTGTTAATCAGAGCCCATGTCTGCAGACCCAGCCAATGTTAAATGTGTTCTTTTGAGAGAAATAGCTCTCCTTTCACTATATTTGAATCCATTAAATAAAAGAGCTCAAATTAAAATATAAGATGTTCAGACTTAGACTTCTTGTCCTCTTCCCCCTTTTCAGTGAGTGTAAGTCTCTAGGGTGAGAGAGTACTGAACGTAACTACTTTTAAACCCAGGCATGTGGTACGAAATTTGTATTCATTTGTTAAACAGTTTTTGAGCCAAAAGTCAGCTGCCATTCTAGGATCTGAGAAATAAGTTGAATAAGGAGCTTCTGTGACCTTCAGGAATACATGGTCCAGTGGATTAGAGTGGATGATGGAGTCCCACAAATCTGAGTTTGATTCCCAGCTTTCTCATTTTCTAGCTTTATTATATTGTGCAGGTTCCTTAATCACACCAAGCCTCTTCTTCATCTATAAAATAGAGAAAGTAATACCTCATGCAATTGTTGTGAGGCTTAAATAAAATAAAAGTTTAGCATAGTTCCTGGCACATAGTAATAGCCCAATCAATGTAAATTGCTATTATGGTTGTGGAGGAGGTGAGTAGGCAAATGTATTAGATAACATTGTAATAGAAGCATGAGCAATGGGTTGTGGGATGTACCATGGAAAGATTCAGAAAAGTGGTTGCATTTGAGCTGGGCCTTTAAATATAAGTAAGAATTTATGAGGTAGAGATGAGAAAAAATAATTGTAAGCAGAAAAACTGTGAATAAAGGTCCAGGAGTTTGAATATTGGGGAACTATTCAGAAATAACTTGATTTGAAATTTGGGGCAGTTACCTTTCATATTCCTTGTGTTGGCTGCCTCAACAAGTGCTCTGGTTCGGCTGTGTTCTTCCTGGGACTTCAGTGCCCTTCCTTTCAACCTGTCTGTACTTGGCTTTCTTTTCCAAGGGTCAGCCCAATCCTCAACTGTTGGAGACCTCCCTGATTTCTGCTTTTCCCATTTCTTGTAGCACTTAATTTCTTACTACATGGTTTAGCAGTAATTACATGATGTCCTGTTATTTAATTACCTCATTTGTGTAAGTCTAGTCTCCCCAGTTCTCCAGGGCAGAGATAGCATTTTCCCATTTTGTGTCCTATATGGGGCTGACATAAACTAAGTCCACAGAATAGGTTCAAGCAATGCCTGTTGACGACCAGATACCTTGTGCTGATGGTGATATAGCCACGTGTACCAGAGCCCAATTATGGGATTTACTGATTTGAATGGAAATGTCTTCACTCCACATCCACACATTATTGAGTGTTCTCTCTGTTTGAAGCTAGTTAAAAGGTTTTGAAGGAGAGGATCTGAGAAGACACATGTGTAAGGTGCTTGTTGCCAGGTATAAAATGGCATTATGGCATCTTGTCGCCAGAGAACAAGGGATAGATGTCAGGGGCAGCTGGCCTCCTCACTGGCATACCAGGAGCACTGTCAGGAAAGGCAACTTTGTTTCCTTGAGCTTTGGATTTGCCTGAACCGCCCAGGTTCCAAACCATCAGCCATTCTCTTCTATTCCCCAAACTGTGGTTGGATTGTGGCACAGAGTCAGGTTGATTCAATTCCTCTTCAAAGGTAAGCTATCTTACACTGGGAACCTATTGTCCAGGTACCCATTTAATCACCTCTTGTGATAAATACTCATGCTACTGTGTATACAGTGAATGTTCTAGACTTTTGTTATTGCTTTCGTTTTTGTAGACATTCTTAATTTTCATTAATCAAGTATATGAGAGCTTAATTCAGTGTTAGAGAGTGTTCTGAATGTATAACAACTTTAAAAATGGCTGTAGTCCCTGCCCTCACAGAGAAAATAGTGTAGTGGGGCAAAGTCAGTAGGCAATTAAAATACAGAATGGTGTTTTATTTATTTATTGCAACACAATAAATAGTGCAACAATCATTTTATTAATCTCTCACAGTTCTGCAAGTTGACTGGGCTCAGCTGGGCAATTCTGCTAGTCTCTCTTGGGGTCTTAAGAGGTTGCAGTCAGATGGCAGCAGAAGCAGGAGTTGTATGTAGATAAGTGGTGCACTGGAAAGACAGGGCCTCATTTTCTCTCCATGTAGTCTCAGGGCCTCTCTGCTCTACATGACCTCTCCAGCTGGGTAGCARAACTTACGGGATGGCTCAGAGCTTCCGAAATTACCAAAGTGGAAGCTGCCAGGCTTCTTAAAGCTTAAGCCTAGAACCAATATGGCATCACTTCTGTACTCTGTTGTTATAGCAGTTTACAAGGCCAGTTCAGAATCAAAGTGAGAGTGAAAGACATAAGGTGGGAAGTTGGTTCTTTGGATACTACCAACTTCTACAGTGTGGGGAATGTACAGGTGCTATTGGAGTTGGGCACGGTGGCACACACCTGTAATCCCAGCAACTCAGGAGGCTGAGGCAGAAGGATCTTGAATTTAAAGCCAGCCTCAGCAACTTAACTAGGCCCTGCCTCAGAATAAAATACAAAAAAGACTGGGATGTGGCTCAGTGGTAGAGTGCCCCTGGGTTCAATCCCCAGTACCCAAAATAATATCT